AGGCTGTGGTGGATTAACAGGGACACACACTGTTCCTCAGCTGGAGTCTGTCACCAGGCTGTAGATGTGTTACCAATCACGGGGCCTGTCCCTCCACTGCACCAAGAATCTTCTGGGTCACTGGAAAGCATCCTGGATGCAGGGGATGCACTCTCAGGGATCGTGATTCCTCAGGATATTTCAAACACTACCCTAGAGATTCTGATGAGCAGAAAGCAAAGTCCTAACGTAACCTTGACAACCTCTTTACAGATGGTGATCAGGATGCACCTTTTGCAGATGGAGAAACTGGCACTCAGAGAGTCACATAACTTCAAACGTTAGGGTCAGGATTTGAACCCAGATCTGTGAGGACACAGGTCCACCCTTCTCATTTGGCTCCGTGTGCGTTTTGCACCTGACACTATCATTCTCCAGTGTCTTCCAGAATGGCTGTGTCTTGCCCACCCACCCCCAACCTAAAGGCATCCCCTACCCTGTTTCCTCTGTGCAGCTCTGAAACCCTGGTCCTGGGCAGCCAGCCCCGCCCCTCTGAAATGGCTGGCCTGTTACTGCACCTCTCTCCTGGCGAAGAAGCTCTCACATCCCCCAGAAAGATTCCTATATTCCATCACACTCCCAGGTCTCCCCTGGACCCTGCCCAAAGTCCAGCCAGCAGTCTTCTGGTCACATATGACAAGCTGGAACTTGCTTTCTCTCCAAATCCAGCCAGTGCCCTGGTTTTGCAGCCACAACACCAAAAACAGAGCCATGGGTGGGCAAGAGTTTTCCAGACCCTCTCACAGAAACGCCTCACCCACAGGAGCAGCCTGGCCCCTGCAGGAGCCTGAGCATTAGGGCTTTGAGGCCTTGTGTGTTCTCTTTAACCTTGGGGATAACTTTACAGTCTACCCCATGATGTGTGGAGGTTTGTTTCAATATAAAAATAATGCCTATTGATTGAATTTTGACAAGGAACATGTATTACTTTTGTAATGTAAAATATTCAATTAATAAGTGACTATAACCCTTCTAATTCCTCACTATCACGAACAATTGATGATCCCGAGAGACGCCGGGCTTCCTCCGTGGCTTTACGCATCCCAACACCTAGCATGTTCCTGGGGTGTCTGTAATTCTTTCTTCTTTTCCTTCCTTTCCTTCTCTCATTCAACAGATATTTTTGGATTGCCTCCAGTGCCCCGGGCATGGGGCTAGAGTCTAGGAATGATGAGGAAAACAGACATGCTTCCTGCCTCCAGGGAGCTTCCAATCTAATCAGGGGATCGAGGGATTAAAATACACACAGTCGCACACACAGTAAAGGTGTAACGACAAGAGGCAGGAAATGCACAACAGGAAAGCAAAGGGCATGTTGAGCAAGAATAATGCGGGTATTAAAACTGTTCCCAAGGAAGTGACATTTCGAGGGAGACTTGAGGATGAGTTGGCCAGGTAAAGACAAGCAGCAGGAGATGCTTCAGACCCAGCCGCAGGAAGGAGAGGCGCACAGACCTTCTGGAGGCCCAGCCATGAACCTATCATCTTCAGCAAGAGCTGGAGGCCAGAAGCAGGAGCAGGCCCTCTTCCGAGCCCTGGGAGGCAGCCAGCGATCTGCTAGACCCAGCCCAACTGCAGTCTCTAGGCACAGGGCCACCTGTGATCACACAGCCAGCTTCCAGGCTGACACCAGGAGGAGGACCTGGAGCCGGGTGGGGCGGGGACTGGCAGGCAGCAGATGCAAAGGCCCATAGGCTCTGGATCAGCCCATGGTGGCCAAGCATGGAACTCTGGTCAGGCCAAGCCCAAACCAGTCCTCTGGGGCTTCCACGCAGGTTCCCATGATGCCTGGTGGCAGCACCTGTGGGGCACCTGGGCATGGGGGAACGGCTTGTAGGTATCTAGGGCCCATCTGGCAGCCCAGGTCTGTCACAGATGCCACCTGGGTCCCTGGCCCTTGACACTCTTCCTGTCAAGGCTGTCCGTCTAGGACTGGTCCCTCCTCTCTGGCCTGCCGCCACCCCAGCAAACCAAAGCCCATTCAGCCTGGGCCCTGTGTCCTGAGCCCTCAGCCACCACGGCTTGTTCTAGGACTGACACCAGCCCCCTGCTTGCCCAGCTGCTCCCCAGGATGGCATCTGTCCTCCATGGGGCCTCGCTGGTGTGCACCCCGATGCCTAGCTGCTGCCCCTCCCCTCCTGGGCCACTGCGCCAGCTTCCTGGCTGCAGTCTCCCCCGCGCTCATTCCACTGCCCGTCACCAAAGAGACCATTCCAAAACCACGAATCTCTATCGTTGATTCCCTGCTTCGTGCATTCCAGGGAGTTTCTATTGCCCTTGAGAAAGAGACCAAGTGCCTCTTAAAAGGGCAACAAGTGTCCCTACCCCAACTCCCCCCTTTCCCCTCTCACCTTCCAGGAAGACTTATAGAGGAGGAAAGGGCATGATGGGAAGGTCAGAAGAGAGTGGACAGAAGAACTCAGGAGCAGAAGCACAGCGTGGAGCACCCCAAACCTTTGGCCTGGGTGCCCCACCAGCAGAGGCAAGCTCTGGTGGCAAGAGCAGAGAAAGCTCTGGGCTCTCATGGCGGAGGCTGCAGGAGCCCAGCAGCAGGTGAGTCCGGGCCTCTGCTGCCACCCAGAGGCTGGATGGGGAAGCACAGGCGGTGAGCCAGCGAAGCAACCCACCTCCCCCAACAGCCCCGCAGATCAGCAAGGTCTCACCAAGTGTCAGGCCAACAGCAAGGGCCTCTGTGGGCAATGACAGCGGCAGGTCCAGCCTAAGGGGTCCTGAACACACTTCTATTATGCGCCTGGCATAATATGTTTTCAGTTACCTATTCCCCCCTCTGCCTCCCCCACTTGCCCCTCCTCTTCCCTCCAGGACCTCCTTCCCAAGCCCCTGTGTCCCCGGGAACTATCCCAGGGCAACAACCCCCCTTATAGCCTCAGCCCCTCTGCATGCCCTGCCCCCAGAATACACCTGTCTGGAGTGAGGGGGGGGCTCCCACCTCAGGCTGGCACTCACTCCCCAGGTGCTTACTGGGAGCCCAGTGGGTGCAGGCTGTATGCTGGACCCCGGGGGCCACCGCTGTGGACAGACGGGTCCTCTCTCGAGCTTACCTTCTTCTTGGGGCAGAGAGCCAGCCAGATTAGCGAACAAGGTGATTTCAGACAGTGATAAACAGAACGATGTCAGAGGGGACCAGAAAGGTGTCAATGAGGGACGAAACTGCCTGACCTGACAAGGCCTTTCTAAAGCTGGGTGTGGTGGTTTTAGAAAATCACAAGTTCTTTAAAATAAGTCCACTGCTCTCAAAACGGAAAATCTAACTGTCCCCCCAGTAAGTGCCTTAAGTGCAGGGGGTGCTTACTGATTCAACTTTCAATCAAAAGAACATAGCGGAAGCATGGTATGTTGATACGGAGGACTTACACGGTAGGGTGGAAAGGCACCATGGAGTCCTCTCTCCCCTGACCTCCATGTCACTCACTCCACGAAGGTAGCTGCCACCTCATGAGGACACGAAGGTGCTTCCCTGTGGAGACACCCTATGACTCAGAGCCGAAGCCTCCTCCAACCACGATGTGAAGGAGCCAGCCTGGAGGTGGCCCTCCAGACCACTGCAGCCCGTGCCAACCCACATGAGAGACCCCAAGCCAAAGCCACCAGGCCAGGCCACTCAGGGCCAGCTCATCCACTGGACACCCTGTGCCCGGGCCACAGCACTTCAGAGCTGGTGAAAATGGTATAGTTTCTTTTCAAATTAGAAGACATAAAGAGCTTTTAAATCTAAAATGTTTTAATATGTAACAGTAATACATGTATCTTTATACCAAAACAATCATAAATTGTAATTTTTTAATTCCCTTAAGAGGAAGGGGCCAAAAAGACATTAGTGTATAATTTCCATGAAAATCATCATGTGGCCCTGAAGCTGCTACTGAATTTCCTGGCCCACAGAAACTTTGAGATAGTAAGTATTTGTGTTTGTAAATTGGGGGTGATTTGTTATGTGGCAAGAGAGCACGAATATCTCAGCCTTGTGAAAATTCTAGGGCAGAGCTCTGAGGACAGGGAAGCACAAGGGCAAAGGCCCTGGAGTAGAAGTGCAGAAGTAGTGTGTCCAAAGTGCCCAGAAAAATAGTCATTCAGCCTCTTTTAGCCTCAATTTCCCCACGTGTAAAATGGTGAAGACGAACGTCACAGCTTCTCCCTGGGCTGCTGCGGGGGAGTTCAGGCACAGTGTGTAGCACGACGGGAGCCCTGTGTTTGCTGTTCTTATCCAGCCCCTCCACCCCACCCCGCCCCACCCCCGCCCCGCCTTTCTTTCCCTCTCAGTCTGCCCAGACCTCATGCCTGGAGGTCTGAGTCATCCTCTCACCAGCCTCCTCAGCCTTCTCCTGCCTGCAATCTCCACACTGCGCCCAGCAGTTAGGTCCAAAGAGGCTCCTGTGAGATTCAGAGCTGGAGAAACGGGCATCCCACAGACCGGGAGGCGCAGGGGGCTCACAGCTCAGCCTTCTCAGCGCCCCTGAAGGTGCCCCAGCCTTTCCCATCGCCCCCTCGCGGATGTGCCCACGTTCAGCAAGATTCTCCTGTCCTGCAAGACTCCTGGATATCCTGGAAAGGCCCCTACTTTTCCCCTAAAAACCTATCATTTGCACACACACACCCACGTGCTCTGCTGAGGAGGGCCCAGCCACAGCAGGGGGGAGGGTCACAGATACACACACACTTACACCCACGATCACACACGTGACGCCTAACCCCCAGGGTGGGCGCTTCCCCAGGACCACGCACAGGTGAAGAGCGGGCTGGGTGGAGTCTATCTGTCCATCACTCCTTGCCCCGCCCCATCCCTCTCCGCAGACGCCCCCTGATCTCTGATGGTGGTAATAACCGTGCTCAGTGGGAGCAGGGTCCACAGCCCAGCGCTCCGCAGGCGTCCGTGCGCACGGCGGGGCGGATCCTCTTCCCTCTGGTGATGCGCGCAGGGCCCCAGAGGCGAAGTGACCTACCTGGAGCCACTCAGGCAGAGTGAGATGCAGACCCGAGCCGTTCCTTGGCCGGGTCCAGGCTCTCGGCGCTGAGCCACACTGACCAGTGTGTGCTGCCCACCCTGGTCACAGCAGCCAGGATCCGGGGAGCAGCCGATCCACAGAGGAGGAGCCGGCCCAATCCGTCACTTCTCAGCTAGATCAGGAGCCGCGGCACAAGGCCAAAACTTCACTGCAAGCAGAGGGGGCAGAGGGGACAAGCAGCCTGCCGGGGGAGTGTGGCAGAGGACAGCCAGGATGGGGAGACCAAGAAGCTCCAGGACCACTGAGAGCCGATCTCCATCCAACTGGCTCCCAAGCTCCAGGCTGCCCAGAGCCTGGTGGGCCCCTGGTTCTTGCCCTGGGAGACCAGGAGGTATTGCTGCATCTACAGCAAGCCCTCTTTGGGGGGGACAGGATTTCAACAGTCCCTGTCCTGACTATCAGAAAAGCTCTGGCCAAAATATAGTCTGATCTTGGGCAAGTTAAACTTAATCTCTCTCAGCCCCCAGACTCCTCCGTGAAATGGAATGTTATGAGAATTCAAATCAGTGCTGAACGTGAAACCGCTTAGGAGCTTTGCCAGTATGTGACAGTACACTCAACTCCACTGTGGTGTGGCTCCAGGAAAGTAACTGAACCTCTCTGGACTTCGATTTCTCTGTTCTTTGCCTCCCTCTCTGTTTCAGACCTTGCATCTCTGACTCTTTCCGTCAGACATCCTCTCTGCCTGTGTCTAGTTCCCAGCCTCTCAGCTTTGGCCCTCCCCCATCCCAAACCCCTTGGAGTCCCATTAATTTTGAGAGGTTGTCTGTATGGGTTGCTGCCCAACCCAGTCCTGGGGCTCGGAGAGCCGTGTAATTATCCACTTGGAGCCAAGGGGAAGTGATAACCAGTCCTCCCTCCTCCTTCCCCGCCGGCCTCACGCTCTTCCATTTCGCTCAAACATCCCCAGGGAAGCCGATTATGGAGGGGCCCGCTGGGTAAGGAGGGGAGGGATCCTCATTACCTTGCAGAAGGTCAGAGAGAGGGAATGGGGGGCAGCCCTCCAGCCTCCATCAAAGACGAGGCTGCAGTTGGGACAGCCCGTCCTGGGCCCCGCTCTCTGTGCCCGGCAGTGCGGCCTGATCTCTGGGTCCTCATCTCCAGGCAGAGCCTCCTCCTGTGCCCAGCCTCCCAGTGCAGCTGGCTCCCCCTCCCCTCCCCGGCACCTCCCATGGGCCTCCAATCCTGGATGCACGCCCCCCACACCATCCCTCCCTCCGCCCTTCAAACCCATCTCCTCAACACCAGCCACCCAGGCTCTCCCTGGGCTTAGCAGCCACCAAGTCCCCCAAACCTCTTCAGCCATGACATCCAGTGCTCTTTGACCTCTGAGCTCCCTGGAGCAGGGCCAGGGCCCTTCACCTGGTCGGCCTATGGGTCCTTCACAGGAGCAACGCCAGATCTGACTGCATTCTGTTCCCTGCTCACCCCACCTCTGTCCACACACCATGCCGCCTTCGAATCTTCTCCCCACCCCCTGCATACAGTGGAGGAACAGGGAGCCGAGGGGTCAGGAAGAGCCAAGCCTCACTCTGTCATCCCCTAACCGTGTGCCCGGAGCAGCTCCCAGCACCTCTGACCCACAGCGTTGTCATCTATAAAATGGGACTACCTATCCAGGGTTGTCAGGAAGTCCTTTGAGCACGTCCAGAGTTACACTATCAAAGGACTTCAGTGGCCAGGCCAGGGGCCGACACCAGGAGGGCTCCCTGGAGGCCCGTGGAAAATCAGAGAGCAGATGCCCCCTACAAGGGGACCTGCTTGTCAGCTCCAACTGTGGGCAGGACAGGGAACAGAGGCCCATGTCGCTGATATTCCAGTTTTTCAAGATCATCCCCCCAAACGTGTTTTGCTGAGGAATCCCCAGATTTGAATATGCTGGCGATTAATTGAAATGCTTCTCTAGCACGGTGAAGCCCAAACAAAACATTTGCCTCCAGGTCACCAGTCTGTACTCTCTGATGTATGCTAGGCGTTGGGCCCAGCCCAGGCTCCAGAACAGAGAGTCAATAAACACTAATTCCCTTCTCTGCCCTCCTTATTGATTCTCTCAAAGGGGAAAAAAAAAAAAAGTCTCTGAAGTCACACCATCATCTGCATGCAGGAGTTGACGAGGCCCTTTTTGAGATCCAGAGGTGTCCCCCAAATTCAGCTGTTGAGATCTTAATCCTGAATGCAGCAGTGCAGGCGGGAGGGCCTCTCCAGAGACATTTAGGTCAGAAGGTCATTATCAAAGGGCAAAATGGAGGGAAGCTGTCCTTTTTTTCCCTTCTGCCTTCCGCCATGTGAAGACCCAGTGCTCCTCCTCTCCAGAGGACACAGCATTTGAGGCACCGTCTAGGAAGCAGGAAGCAGGAAGCAGGCCTTCGCCAGCTCCCACACCTTGATGTTGGACTCCTCAGCCTCCAGAACCTTGAGAAGTAAATCCCCATTCTCTATAAATCACCCAGTCTATGGTATTTTTTATATCAGAGAACCAAGACAGCCTTCTCCCTTTCGTGTTCTCATTCTGCCCGTGCATCAGCCCCACAAGGTAGTTATTATGAACTCTGACGCCAAATGGGGAAGTAAAGTCAGAGAACATAAGTCAGTCGACAAACATTATTCCACTCCAGCTCTGCGCCTGTCAGTGGTAAATGGCAAACCCAAGGTCACGCAGAATATTTTTGGTTGCAAATGACAGAAACTGAAATTCACCAGGCTGAGGCAAAGGGTGATGTGGTGGCTTCCATGCTTGCAGGAAGGAAAAGGGTCACCTGGGCTCTGAAGATGAATAAAGTGGGGGACTCGATGTCCCCTGGGGTTCACTTGTCCATCCCTGTAGCAGACTCCCTTCCTTTATCAAAATCATCATCTCGTTCAGCATTTTCCCACCCAGGCCACCTGCCGGGGGAGAGCCTCACCTCCCACCACCAGACACTCTCTCTTTCCTGGGTTCAAAAGTGCCACGGAAGGTCTCAGAGGGTCCCTGAGCATTAAGTTGTCATTCTGGACCAATCAAGTGAGGAGCAAGGAGAGCAAGACTGATTAGCTCAGTTTGGAGTCAGTTCCACCCCCAGGGCCAATCAACAAGAAAGCAAGCTCTGTGTGAAGAGGTGAGAGCAGGGAGAGAGAAGTCCCCAGGAAATGAGATTGCTGCTCTGTGCAAACAAGAGATGTCTCAGTTTCGGCTTTCCCCAAAGCCAAGCCTGAGACAAAGATCTGCATGCAAATTGTTTATTTGGGAGGAATATCGGCAGGGGAACTGGGAACAGGAAGTGAGCAGAGAAGGGAGAGAAGTTAATGAGGGCTGTGCAGGGGGGACACGGTGACTTCCATGGGCAACCGAGCTGAATCCTGCTGGGGGCCTCTGGGGGGACAGTAGAACAGGGCCTCTTGGTTGTGTCAGCCCAAGAGTGAGGAGGCTGGAGAATCTGTCCCCTCATTTTATCACTCACAACTCGATGGCTCTTCCCAATGGGGCATCAATTTGCTGACAGGCAGAGAAGTCCCGGAAGGCCAGATAGCCCCAGGCAGTGTGGCAGGTGGTGGTCATTGGACACGGGGCCTGCCTGCTGTCAATCAGCAGGCTGGCATAGTTCCTGTCAATCATCGAAAGGAGCACCTGCGCCACGGACGGACGCAGGTTTGAAACGAGGTTTCAAATCCAGATCTGAATGTTTGCAGCAAGTCACATGGTCCCCATCCTAAACCACGACTGAGCAGAGTTCTGAGCACCCAGGCCAGAATCCAAAAGGGAAATCCTTGACCCTACAACTTCAGTCAGCAGAGGGGAATGTGGTGGCCAGAGCCCAAATCTTCAGGAACTGCCCACAAGCCCCCAATGTTCTACAAGGAGGTCACTCGCTACAGAGGGCACCCGCTGCCCGAGACCATGGATTCACTGGGCCTCCAGGTTCAAGGACGTGGGTCTGGCTGCTGCCACACTCCAGCCTACCCTGAGCCTCCCGAATGGTAGGAAGAGACCCAGGGGCACTCCCCAGTCCCAGCCCCCTCGAGCTGTGCTGGGAGCATAGGCAGAACTGGAGGGGTCAGCCTCGAGGCCCAGGAAGGGCAGCAGGTCTTCTCCCAGGAGAAGAGCAACAACACTAGTCCCCACCTGTCGCCCTGGAGGCGGGGGCTGCCTGCAGACCAGAGAGCAAACTCCTGGAGCTTGCCAAGTGTCACCCTGCTGTCCAGGGACCCTGCCCTCACTCCCCACAGCCCCCTGCACCCAACAGAAAAGAAACAAAGCCTCAGAGAGGAAACTGACTTGCCCAGGGACACACAGCCAAGGAGGAGCAATGGGATCGGCCCAGGTCTGTGTGCGGCATCTCTGCACAGGATCCATCCTGGAGCCTCCCGGGGAACACCCCACTCCCACTCGACCATTTCCCAGAAGAAACCAAAGCTGCTTCAGCACAGGCTGAGCCGGTCTCTGTGAGGAGCAGGCTCTGGGGCTCTCCTCTGCCCAGCCCAGGCCCAGCACAGAAGCAGATCATTTACAAACAGAGATCTCAGGAGGCTGGGCCCTGCTGTTGAGAGCCACAGCCGAAGGGGCCCCAGCAAACTTCCAGCTGCCAGCAAACTTCCAGCTGCCGGCTGATGATTGGCTCACAGCGGCCCCAGCAACATCTAGCTGATTGGCTCCTCTGCGGTGATGCTCATTGGGCTGTTTCCCTGCCCTTTCAGACCACGGAGCTGCTCATTGGGGGACTTTTTTGGCTCCGCCCATGTGACCCAGCCAATCGGCCTCAAGAGCAGGAGGATTGTGGGAGGGGGAGAGAAGCTTGTGGGGGAGAGAGAGGCTTGTGGAAATCCGGTGGTGGCAGTTGAGGCTCTGAGGGTTTTTCCTGAGAGGCTGTTTTGTTTGGCGTGTGTGGTTCTAAAAATAAAGTTAGTTTCTTTTGACAAGTGGCTCCTGATTGTGCCCAGCCAGACTGCGGCACCCTGCCCCTCGGCCAGACCCTGCACAGCCGAGCGGCCCCCACTCTGCTCCAGGATGAAAGCAGCTCTGCGGCAGGAGCACCTTCGGCATCTCTGTGTCCTTCAGGGATGGTGGACTGGACTTCTTATGCCAAGGTGGGCATCCCTCTCCTTCCATCCCCTCTTAGTAGAGCTACACAGGCTCACCCAGACCCATCACCTGATAATGACAGAAAGAAAACAGGAAGAGCCGTAGCACATGCCTCTAATACCAGGGGCTTGTGAGGCTGAGGCAGGAGGATTGTGAGTCCAAAGCCAGCCTCAGCAATTTAGCAAGGCCCTAAGCAACTTAGCAAGACCCTGTGTCTCTAGGTAAAAATATTTTTTTAAAAAAGGACTGGGGAAGTGGCTCGGTGGTTAAGCACCCTGGGTTCAATCCCTTGTGGAGAGCAGTGACAGAGAGTGGAGAGCAGTGTCTGAGACTGGGGTCTCTGATGACTTCATGGCTGTGGCATGCTTGGTGCCTGGGAAAGTTTCTGTGCAAAGGTGCAGGATCCTAGCTGCTATGATAATGCCCTTCATGAGGAGACTGTGCTAGAGTCTTATCAGCCTCAACCTTGATCTCAGGCACTCAGCTCCCGGGAACACAGGAAATTTCTTGCTAAACAACTACAATGTTTCACCAGCTCCCCTGCTCCTGAACCTGCCTGCATAACAGTAACTTTAAACAATGGCCTTTCTTGAGAGCTACACAAAGCTCCTAACATTGCATATTGCAACTGTAGAATGTAACTGCAGAATAAGCTGTATAGACGTTTCTAGTTGTGTAACTTTCATCAATACAAAGAATGATGCTGAGGCTGGGGTTATGACTCAGAGCGCTGTCTAGCATGTGATGGAATCTGGGTTCGATCCTCAGCACCACAGAAAAATAAATAAATAAAATAAAGTTATTGTGCCCAATGACAATTGAAAAATAAATATTTTTAAAAAGAATGATGCTTGCATAGTCTTTAATCTGATGAGACATATGTAAATAAAGGTTGCTGGCAGAATTCTTTAGACCTGCTTCTCCATCAGAGAGCAGTGCTCCACCTGACCCTAGCTATATCCTCACGGTCTATGTGTATGAGTCTTTATTTTTCTTATCCCCCTTTGCCCCTTTCCAGAACCTGCTAGATTGACCATGCGGGTCACGGAAATTCCTGGTACCAAGGAAGGAAGGAGAGAGAGAAAGAAGGGAGAGAGAAAGAAAATAGAAATCAGCATAAATTCAGTCTTGCTCCAGATACTATCCCAGCTGCTAATAACAGCTCACATTTATTAGGTACTTATTACCATCCAAGCATATATGTTTTACATATTTCTATTTATCTAATCCTCACAATATTCCTATGGAGTAAGAATTTTAATGGCCCCACATTCCAGATGAAGAAACTGAGGCCCAGAAAAGCTAATAAACTTGCCTGGATTGCACAGCCTGCAAGCAGAACTGCTATTAGAATTCAGGCAGCCAGGCTCCAAGGCCCATGCTCTTTACATAGTGATGCTTCAACACTTGGGCCTAAGGATCTGGCAAGGTTCCTGGCTCCTTTACTCTTTTGGGGGGAGGGGGATGGTAATAGGGATTGAACCCAGGGGCACTTAACCTAAGCCACATCCCCAACCCTTTTGATTTTTTTATTTTGAGACAGGATCTCACTAAGTTGCTTAAGGTCTCACTAAGTTGCTGAAGCTGGTCTCAAAATTGTGATCCTCCTGCCTCAGCCTCCCCAGCAGCAGGGTTTCAGAAGTGTACCATCACTCCCAGCTGGCTCCTTTACTTTTGATAAACAGAATTATTCATTCATTCATCATCAAATATTCATTAAGCACCTACTAGGTGCCCAGTAAAATACCTAACGGTTGAAGGAAACATGATTCCACCTCTGAGCCTGGGCCTCTTAAGATCAGTCTAAAGGAGGAGGAAAGACATTAAGGACACAAGCACACCAATAACTCGGAGAGCCAGGGGATTGTGTAATGGAGAACTAGACTTAGTTTGCAGGGCAGGAAAAGCTCTTCTGAGAGAGCAACATTTAAATTGAGGCCTCAATTCAATGCTGGCTCAGAGAAAATGAGGAAAGCACATCAAAGCATATGCAAAGGCCCTGAGGTAGGAAAGAGATGCTGATATTTAAGTCAGAGAAGGCAGCCAGCGTGGCTGAACCGTGAAGACTAAAAACGGCTGAGGGCAAAGAAGCCAGCTCATGTGCGACTGTCCCACATGAGCAACGCAGAGCCTTGGGGAACCACCAAAAGGCCTTGAACAGATTTTTTAGTACGATTTGCATTTTCGAAAGACGCTTCTGCTGTATGTAGGGAGCTGAATGGAGATGAGCACAGCCGGAGAGAGGTGTTGTTATATAAGACATCAGGCCTCGTTTGGCACAGGGAAGGTGCTCAACAGTGGGGTTGGTGTTACTCCAGCCCGCCTCTGTTTTCCAGCCTTTCCCCCTGTCTCAGGTGGGGGAAGTGGGCACCACCCTGGCATGCCACCCTAGGCCAACTGCCTCATTCCCCAGGAGCAGAGGGTCACTTTCATTTGGGAACAGGTGCTTCCATGGTGGGCTAGCCAGGAAGAGGCCAGGGAGCACATGCACACCACCCTGGCCTGGTGCATTCACAGGGAGCTCCTGAGGATGGGGCAGACCAATCCCCACCCACAAGGGAGGAACAGGGAGGACCACCAGGGTGCCCTTGCCCCGCCCCCGCCTGAGGCTGACCCTGGGGGTGGGGAAGCCAGGGTCACTTTTTAGAGCAGAGCCTGGGGGAGTAGGTGGGTCTCATCTTAATGCACCAGCACTTTCTCTGCCCGCCCTGGTCCCCGCCCATCTGCTGACACAGCTCTGGTGAAAGTGGTTTCTCTGCGGCCTGCATTCCCTTCCGTGATCTGCTCCCCTCCCCAGAGCAGATCCTCCATCTCTGACCATTCCTTCTCTTTCTCTGCGGCTTCCTCACAGGGCAATGCTCCCCAGAGCTCTGCTGGGGCCCCACCTTTCCAGTCCTGTGTCTCCTCCAGCCCCGAGGTGCTGCCTCCTGCTGGCCGTGGGTGGTCAGTGCGGCTCCCACTGCACCAGAGCTTACCAACTCCACCAGCTTCTGTGGCCCATCTCCGCCTCTCCTGCCCACAGCCGCCTCTCCTCCCGCAGTCCTGCTTCCTGCCAGTGGACCCACCACCTGCCCAGTCACCAACACCAGGCCCAAGCCTGCCAGTTGTACTTACCAGCTATTTTCCAAATCTAGCCCTCCTCTCACCTCTGCCTTAAATCACTGCAGCAGGGGCAGACCGTGGCTTCCATAGTGACATTCGCAGGTTTCCATACTGTGAATTTGCCCACTCACTCAAGTTTGTTGGTGACCCCAAAATTGATACCCGAGGCACTTTTGTGGCCATGCACCGCAGGAGAAGAGGTGAGGAATTTGAGCACCTCCCCTGCCCCCATGCGATGGACTGTCCCCAGCTGAGGTCACCCAATTGCCTTCTCTCTGCTCTCTCTGCTCTTGTTCTGTAAATACGTATCTTGCCAGAGGTCCATTTAGTACCACATTTTTCTCATGTTTGTGCTTTTGGTTGGTGATTTTATTGCTTCAAATGGCCCCAAGCACAGAGCCGAAGCACTGTGGGTGTTCCCAAGCCCAGGGAGGCTGGATGCCCCTCGGGGAGGAAACCCGTGGGGTGGATGAGCTCCATCCAGGCCTGAGCTACTGTGGTGCTGGCCTCAGTTAATGTTAATGAATCACCGATCTCTATTAAGTAGGATGTCTTTAAACAGAAACACGGAAGACAAGGCTACGTATTGATGAGCTGGATACCTTGTAAACAGGTTTACAGGAACTTAACCTTGTACTTCCCCCGGGAGCTGTGGTCACTGTGTGCTAACTTGGTACTCACGGTGACTGCCTTGACTGATGAAAACCCATGTTACCAATGTGTCCACGCCACTTCTTGGCTTGGAACTCCCCATGTCTCTCTTTGCACCCAACGTGAATCCAAATTCCTTGGCATGACATTCCAGGTCCTCCACAGCCCAGAGGCCCCTGCCGACCCACCAGGCACATTGCCAAGTGGTTCCTCCACGGTGGCCCCAGCTCCCTCCTCCCTCACATTCCCCAGAGGCCCTCTACACACTGTCCAGGCCTCGAAGGCCCCTCTTCCTGAGCTCCTCTTGGTGAACTCCTACACAACCTTCAAGACCCAGCCTGAAAGTCACCACTCTGGGTGTCCCTCTGACAGAAACTGACACTCGTTCTTTGTACCTTTGATAGCTCTTCTCACATATTGTAACTGATCTGTTAATGTGTCCTTCCTCCTGTGTGTGGCAGTAGTTTTTTGGGAATGGGGGGGTGGTGTATGTGACTCTCCAGGCACTGCTCTGCCACCAGGGGTACAGCAGTATATCAAAACCAATCCCTGGGAGTGCACCACTGTGCCCACAGGGTGGCCTGTGTGTGAGAGTGCATATGCACGGGGCTCACCACGCCTGCTGTGGACACTCCGTGGACTTCACTCCAGCCCCGTGTAACATATTGCTGCTGGGCATCTTGGATGTTAATGAGACCAACGGACTGCGCCTGCGCATAAGCCAGGAGCCTCCCCAGGTGCTCTGCCCCCTCCCACAGCCCCAGCGGGGCTCCGAGTTGGCCTTTTAAGCCCAAAGACAACATCTGTCCAAATGAGATGATCTCTAGTGAGCACGTCCAGGTGTTCCTCCTTTCTCCTCTGCCTTCCCCACATCTCAGAAGAAAAGGTGTAGACATTTTTAAAAGGAAGTAACATTTTTTGAGTACCCCTCCCCCTGCCACGTGCCAGGCTGGGCAGTTTGGGAGGCAGTTGTGGAAAGGACTTCCTTTGAGTCAGATGCCCTGCTGAGCACTTCCGCTCCCAGGCTGCGTGGATCACTGCGCCCACCCTATGAGGCAGGCGATATTTTCCCTTTTTAGGGTGAAGTGGCTGAGATCCCACAGCAAGAAAGTGGCAGAGTCAGGACTCAGGCCTCACCATCTGTGCATCCAGTCACTGCACGTCACAAAGTCTTCTCAGGACACCCCTCGTGGGAGCAGCATGTCTGTCTGTACAGGGGAGGAACCAGATAAATCACCCAGATCAAAAACCAGGAGTGAGATTTAAAACCTGGGTGTGAGATCCAGACACAGGAGCGTGGACTCCAGAGGAGGAGACGTGAACTCCAGCTGCGGAGACATTGGGCCCAGACTGGACCCCTCCAAGGTTCACAGGAGTTGGCCAGTTAAGGAGGAAGTGGGGAGAATGGCGTCCTGGGGGGGGGGGACAATTAGGAGAGACCAGAAACAAGAGTCAGAGGCGTAGGATTTCCAAAGCCCCTGAGCCCCTGAGGAAGGAAGGCCACTCAGAAACAACCAGAAAGAGACAAGAACCTGAACAGCAGCCCACAGAAGCCAGAGGAGGCCCAAGAGTCAGCAGTGAAGCATTTCAGAAGAATGAGAGGGTATGACAGGCTTCAGATGCTCCCATACAAGCCCCGGGATACCATGAGCAGAGGGTCATAGTGGACCTATGTTTCTCCCCTGAGAAGCCAGGATTCTGGGTTCAACACCACCCTCAGAGGAGTGAACCCCTAAGTTTTCTGAGCCTCATGAGAGGCTGTCTGGGAGGCTGAAGCCCATCCAATGGCAGTGCCGGCTGCAGCTCCTCCTCCCGCAGCAAGTCTGCCACACCCAGGCTGCTCTGGAGCTCTGACCCAGGAATGAGCTTCCCAAGAAACCCTCCTGACATGAAGTCAGGCTGCTTGCTGAATCCCACCACCCGCTGCCAGGAGCAGCTACCAGGAGAGCCCTGAGGAGCAGCCACTCAGGTAGAGACTTCTAAGTCCAGATGTGTCTGTCCCCAGCCCACCTGGCAGGGGAGACTTCTCTGGTGCCGTTAGGGGAGGTGGGCTGAACACATGGGCCACCCGGGTCCTAGTCGCGGGGGAATGAAGGGCTCCTCCCTCTTCCCTAGGCTCTTCCTGATCTCCCCAGGCAGGTCTAGGTGGGAGCCAGGAGCTGAGTGGGAGAGGGGCTGAGAGGGGGCCTGGAGCTCAGCTCTGCCTGGGCCTGCAGCGTCCCGCCCACCCCACCCCAAGCCGGCTGGACTGGGAGAGAGCCCCTGGGGCCTGCCGGGTGCTCCTGGGAACCTGCCAGGCCCACCCACTTCAGGCGGGACTGAGCAGACACACAGATGACTCAGAGCAGGGGCCACACGGCCAAGAAGTAGGTGGTGAGGAGACACGGAGTGCAGAGCAGAGACTGCCCAGCCTCCACCAGGTGGAGGAGGGCTTGCTCATGGCGGGCAGCTCACGGAAACTTAAGGACAGGCCCAGCCCGAGATAGGGAGTTCCCAGAGGGTGGGCTCCTGAGCCGGCTGCATGGGTTCAAGTCCCCGCTCCAGGGCTTACTAGTTACAGTGAGCAAACTGATAACACACCCCCACTCCCACCCCCACCCCGCCCTCGGCTTCCCTCCTCAGCAATCATGCAGGGCCCAGGATGGCCCGGGACCTCCCACTGGACCAGCGCCCCTTAGTGCAAGAGGCTGAGCCCACAGGCTCCCTGAGGTCCTGGGTGTGCAGCGGGTGAGACCACAGTGCATGGGTCTCGGGCAGAGGCCTCCTGAGAGAGGAGGGCACCCCTCGCCCTGCACAGCAGTCCCCTTCCTTAACTGCCTCTGTGTGTTTCCTCGTGCCACATGCACCAGCCGGGTTAACGGGAAAGCATTCCCGTGCCTCCATCAGACACGTGTCGGGAAGGAACGGGGTTCTGCCATCAAAGGAGTTGAGACAATACTATGTATTTTTTGTCCCTCTTTTGGAGAATCACACAGGGGATTTATTAGCATGGTTGAGTAAAGGGACCTCTCTCATGCCTCTGAACCCTGGATTTCACCGACTTTTCGTGAACACAGAACCCTGTTCTCTGGCTACTCGTATTGCCAATATTGCCAGCGGGTGGGACAGGGTTCCACGGAACACTGGTTTGGGGAACACTGGACTGCCAGGCTACTCTGGTAGGCCCAGGGCATCTGCATGTCAGCTGGCTTGCCACTGCCTGGCTTCCCGAGAGTCACACCTGAGCAGAGGGCACTGCCTGGATGTACTGAAGGCTGGACTAGATGGGGACAGGTTCCCCTTTGGAGGGGGCTCTCTGCAGGGAGAGGGCCGGGCTCAGGGCTCAGCAAAGAAAGAGATCACCCAGGCTGAGGCCCCTGAGGAGGGGTCAGGGTTGGAAGAGAGAGAGGGCAGCAGGTCCCAACCCCGCACGTCTTCACTCTTTACGACCTGAGAGGAGTGAGCGGCCCCTGGACCCACCTTGGCTGCCTTATGGGTAGAGCTGGGTTCTGGCTTAACCACCTGTGCCCACGTCCCAGTTCTGCTCTGACTGGTGTAGTCTTCTCTACCCCTCTCCACCTCAGTTTCCCTCATCTGTAAAATGGGGACGATATCAGACCCCAGCTCTCTCCCGGGTAGAAGGAGTGGAACACGTAGAGGACGGCGATGTCCATGCCGCGTTTCTCTGACAGCCTCCCAGTGAGTAGCCGCAAATGTGGGAAATGACTCTTCTCATTTCCCTGCAGTGGCGTCTGACACGTGGGTCCACCATGAACTGGGGGATCTTCGAGGGAATCCTGAGCGGGGTCAACAAGTACTCCACAGCCTTTGGGCGCATCTGGCTGTCCCTGGTCTTCATCTTCCGCTTGCTGGTCTACCTGGTGACGGCCGAGCGAGTGTGGAGTGATGACCACAAGGACTTCGACTGCAACACCCGCCAGCCCGGTTGCTCCAACGTCTGCTTCGACCAGTTCTTCCCCGTGTCCCACGTGCGCCTCTGGGCCCTGCAGCTCATCCTGGTCACCTGCCCCTCGCTGCTCGTGGTCATGCACGTGGCCTACCGGGAGGCCCGGGAGAAGAAGTACCGGGAGACAGCTGGGGAGGGCGGCGGGCGCCTCTACCTGAACCCCGGCAAGAAGCGGGGCGGGCTGTGGTGGACCTATGTCTGCAGCCTGGTGTTCAAGGCCGGCGTGGACGCCGCCTTCCTCTACGTGTTCCACTCCTTCTACCCCAAATACACCCTCCCTCCCGTGGTCAAGTGCCACGCGGCCCCCTGTCCCAACACAGTGGACTGCTTCATCTCCAAGCCCTCGGAGAAGAACATCTTCACTTTCTTCATGGTGGCCACGGCCGTCGTCTGCATCCTGCTCAATCTCGTGGAGCTGGCCTACCTGGTGAACAAGAGGTGTCGTGAGTGCCTGGCAGCGCGCAGAGCAAGGGCCACACACAAGGGTCATCACCCGGACTGTGTCACCTCGAAAGACCTCCTCTCGGACGACCTCATCTATCTGGGCTCAGACCCTCACCCGCCTCTCTTGCCAGACCACCCCCAAGACTACGCAAAGAAAACCATCCTGTGAGGAACGGGCTGGACGGGACTGGCAGGGAGCCCTGGGTCGGAAAGTTCCAGCATCTCTCATGGATGGGGGCAAAGGGAGGATTCAGAAGGCCTGGGATCCGGTCCCTACCCCCCAACTCTGGCCACTGCTCCAGCAGGTGGCCTTAGGCACATCTAAAGATCCTGAGGGCCACCTCCCAGGACCATAGTGAGGAGGGGTGTCAAAGGAGATCAGAAAGGCCAGCCACCCCCCCCATGCGCATGGCCCACCAACAAGGCTTAATAAAGGTCAATGCATTCATTGATTTAAGGTACCCTTGGTCATTTGGGCTTTGTCACCCTCACCAGGTCACTGTCTCAATCTCTGGGATGCACTTGACTGGGTCAGATGAGGAGCCATCCTCTCCTCCAGAGAAGGGGTGCTCCGGCTCTGCTGGAGACCAAGCCACGTGCTCATGCTCAAGGCTGGCCCTCAGCCCCCGAGGGTTGTCTACAGAGGTCATGGAGCTCAGTGTGGGGGTGGCTATGCTGCAATGGGAAGTCCCCGGATTGTAGGTGCGCACACCTGTAGTCAGGCACAAGCACCAACAGGACTCTGGGGAGGTGGCTTCAACCCTTCTCCAAAATGGGTTAATAATGCCCAGCCTGTCGAGTTCTGTGAGCACTCATGAGTTCATGGCTGTGGACTGGGTTAGCTGGCTGTAAAAGGCCACATAAATGTTAATCATTGCTATTAGGAAGCACTCGATAAATGCTTGTGGGAAATGAGGCACAGGGGCCCCTCCCTGGCTGCTCATTAACCTTCACTGTGCCAGCCAGACGCAGGCCCAGGGTCCTCTGCAGCCCCAGTGGGTACCCCACGTCCCTGAAGGCCTTACCCACTTACCCAGAAGCACAGAGGCCCAGGTCCACAGGGAAGGGAGAGTGAGGCTGTGTCTGGGCCCCTGACAACTGGGGCATTTCATGCTGCCAACCTGCATTCCTTGCCTCAAGCAGGGCAGCAGGTGCCCATCTAGAAAGGCCACGGCCAGCCCCTCCCATCCCCCCTGAGCAAGCCAAAGGCAGTTCAAGATCTAATCCCCAGAAAAATCCCCACCAGAGTAGGACGTGGTCCTGGGCTGAATCAAAATTGCTCCTTTCTGTAGATGTCAGCTGCTGAGGACATCAGAACCAGGCTTCCAGAATAAAGGGCAGGAGAGGGCCCTGGGGACAAGAGGGTGTGGGAAATGAGGCAGAAGGAAGGGGAAGAGTCAATGCCACTGGTGCCATCCTGGGCCTGATCGCACCAGGTCCTGTCCTCTCACTGCAGTCTCACCCACATACCTCCACGAGGTTAGGGAGAAGGCGTAGGCCAGGAGAGGAGCACCCGGGTGTTTGCTCTGAATATGTGCCCGGGGAAGTCCGCCCACCGACCTGCCCTACCCACCCACCCGGATCACTCTCGCCCGGCTCATTGGCTCAGAAAGCCCCACCCCACTCAGAAGCGAGGAACAAAAGCTGCCTCCGGGAGGCCCTCGGGCTGACGGACAAGCCAGGGACAGGAGAGCAGCCACTGGACTCAAGAAGGGTGAGGACCTATTAGGGCAGGAGACAGGGCCAGGAAGATGGGGCCAGCAGGGCTGAGGAAACCCCGGGGGAGCTGGGGCTGGGGGCCAGAATACAGGGGTGAGGGTCCCTAGAGAACCCCAGGGGAGCTCCAAGGAGGGGAAGGAATCCCCTGCCAGACCAAAGGGAGGCCAGAGGACCGGAGAAGAGATGAAGAGGGATCGGGAAGGCGCGTGGGGCTTCGCTGCAGTTTAACCAACATGTATTGCGTGTTTGCTGGGCCAGACCCAGAGCTGGATGGTGGGGACAGATGAATGAGATGCGGTCTGACAAGAAAGACAGGTGAACGTGGCCTGCCGTGGAAGGGTGCTCGGCAGGTGTCCCAGGGGTTTGGTGCCTAACAAGGCTGAGATAGAGACAGGAGAGGGCAGGCCGTGGGATGGAATAGGATGAGGACTCCAGATAAGAGGCCGTGGAGGTTGACAGACACAGAACAGGGCCTGGACGAGGAGAGCCCGAGAGGTAGCCAGCCAAGGCCGCCGAGCCGTCAGAGAAGGGGAGTCTCGGAGAAAGAAAAGCAATGGTGGGCTACACACCGTGCCAGGGTCCAGCAGGTGCCCATCCCTGGCCTTCCCTGGAGCTCAAACAGTTGGAATTCCAGAGGAACCCACTTGTGGTGGAGACCGTCAGTGTTCCGGCGCCAAGGCAGGGAGGTGGCAGGGATGATGCCAAGCCACCACAATTTCAAAGGGCTCTGTTTAGTGTAGGAGGGGATGTCTGGGAAGCTTCCTGGAGCCAGGGAGGAGGAGTGAGGATGGAGATTGTCCTGGGATCTACGTAGGCGCAGATGCGGACATGCCCGGTGTGGGGCCTGGCACCTGTTGGCATTCAGTCAAAGCTGGATTCATCTGACAACCCTAAAGGATGCACCCCCACACCTCCTGCCTGGTCCAGCCTGGCCAGGGGTCATTCATTCTCTTCACCAGTCCTGGGGTAAGAGAGGCTGGCCGGCCTGTGGGGCAGCATGATTACTCTCACGTGTATTTATTACTTTGTAGAATAAAATAATCCCTGATTCCCGAACCTGAAGACAAAGGTTCAAGACCAGCTCTGCTACTTCCAGCTGTGGGACCTAGGCAGGTGCCTCTGGACTCACCTCCCTGTGACATGGGGGTGATGGCCATGCCTCCCCCTCCAAGTCCCTGCGAGTGAGGACACCATGACCCCGCGGTTGTGAACCGGTATTGTCCCCCACATCGTACTCAAGGGTGCCCATTTCCAGGTCTTCCCAGGCTCCCAAGGCCTGAGTGGGTGGCACCCAGGTGTAGACCCCCCTGTGTGAGGTGCCGAGGAAGCCATCAGCATGAACTGGACCTTCCTGCAAAGCCTCCTGAGCGGCGTGAACAAGTACTCCACGGCGCTGGGCCGCATCTGGCTGTCGGTGGTCTTCATCTTCCGTGTGCTGGTGTACGTGGTGGCCGCAGAGGAGGTGTGGGACGATGAGCAGAAGGACTTCATCTGCAACACCAAGCAGCCCGGCTGCCCCAACGTCTGCTACGATGAGTTCTTCCCCGTGTCCCACGTGCGCCTCTGGGCCCTGCAGCTCATCCTGGTCACCTGCCCCTCGCTGCTCGTCGTCATGCACGTGGCCTACCGCGAGGAGCGCGAGCGGAGGCACCGCCTGAGACACGGGCCCGGGGCGGCGCCGCTGTACAGCAACCTGAGCAAGAAGCGCGGCGGGCTGTGGTGGACCTACCTGCTGAGCCTCATCTTCAAGGCCGCCGTGGACGCGGGCTTCCTGTACATCTTCCACCGCCTCTACCAGGATTATGACATGCCGCGCGTGGTGGCCTGCTCGGTGGATCCCTGCCCCCACACCGTGGACTGCTACATCTCCCGGCCCACGGAGAAGAAGGTCTTCACCTACTTCATGGTGGCCACCGCGGCCATCTGCATCCTGCTCAACCTCAGTGAGGTCACCTACCTGGTGAGCAAGAGGTGCATGGAGATCCTCGGCCCCCGGCGCCGGAAGTCTGGTCGCCGAAGTCGTCTACCCGACACGTGCCCACCGTATGTGGTCTCCCAGGGAGGGCACCCCCAAGATGGGAACTCTGTCCTAATAAAGGCAGGGTTCACCCCAATAGATGCAGGTGGGTATCCATAACCTGCAAGATCAGCAGATAGGATCCCCAGATCCCCTGGCTGTCCCCTAAGGAAAATGGACAAGGGCAGTGACATCTTCTGTAGAGCAGGTAGGTGGCTGTGGGGGCTCAAGAAGCTCACCCAGGAGCCAGGACGCAGTGGAGGGGTACGGTTTTGGTGCCGGGTCCCGAGCCTCAGGGGACCTAATGGCTGGTGGGGATTTTGTATATGACAACAGGTTATGTCAAACCTGTTAATAAACATGATTTTCCAAGTACTTGCAGCCCCAGTGAAGAGTGGTGGGTAAGGAAGTACGGGAGTTCCAATGGACCTCAGAGAGGGGCCCCAGATGACTCAATGGTCATCTGAGCCCCAGAACCTCAGATCCTCCTGTCACTCCCCACCCCACCCACTCACACACATTGTGCCACCAGAATGTGGAGGGGAATGCCCAAAGGCAGGGGCTAAACCAGGGGCCTCACGACACTGCCACCAGCTGACCAAGGCAGGAGAAGAGGGAGGCATGGGGACCCTGTGCCCACAGGAGCTCCTTCCCAGGGAGTGTCCCTCAGATGAATGCAAAGCGTGTGACCTCAGAGGCCTCTGCCTCCCATGTCTGACCTCCCCAGCTCTGCCCAGTATGGGTCCCTAGTAGGGGAGTTCCTGAGGGTGGGAGTGAACTGTCCTGGAACAAGGGCAGAATGGAACTTCCCAGGCTGTCCAGGAGATGTGTCCCCAGGTGGATCCTTGGATCTAGGGCAGCTCTCTTCTTCTCACCCCCATGTACTGCCTGAGCAGCCTCATCCTCCCCCACCCCAGTCCTCAGGCCTCCATGATTCAGGACCATGCTTTCAGCCTGAACCTGCCCCTGAGTCCCACCAGTTGCCACTAAACAGCCCTCTAGGGGACCCACAGTCACCTCACACCCCCGGCAACTCCAAAGGGACCCCGTCATCTTCCCCCAAACCTGCCTCCTCTTAAAGTCCCCACTCCACTCATGAAGGGCATTGCCACCCCCCCACCCCACTGTCCAAGCCGGGAGCTGTCCTTTCCTGCTGATCCCCCCAGCCTTCACACCTGCATCCCAACACAGCACTCCCAGCTCCAAACAACCCCCAAATCTGGCCCCTTCCACTCCCAGCCTTACCCCCGCCTCTCAGGCCTGCCCTCCTCTCCAGGATGGAGTGATGGATCTCTTCATGAATCTGACCATGCCATTGTTCTCACTTTAAAAATCCTCCCACCCCATCCCCATTGCCCTCAACCTGGCCCCGCAGCCCTCCACCTCGCCGGCTCCCTCTCTTCCCACCCACAATAATACCAAAGGCAGGTGGTTCCCGGGCCCATAGTCATGCTGTGGCAGGCCTCAGGCCTCTACCACGCTCCTCCCCTTCCCTGGGATGTCCTTCCTGCCTCCTCTGTGACCTGTCCTCAAACCCCAAGGACAGCCTCCCCACCTCCCCATGCGCCCGCCCGCCCAGGTGCTGCTCTCCTCTGCCCTTCTCCCCGAATCTGGTGGCCAGTTCCCCCCAGTGTCTCCCATCAGCCTATGAACCCTTGAGGGCAGGATGCTGAGTCACCAGGTCCCTGCTGGCCTTCAATAAATGTTTGTTAAATGAGTAAATGAGCTGTGAGGTGCTTGGGGGAAGGATGGTGTGTCCTGTTTATCTGAACCTTCCACCACACCTAGCCCGGGAGGTCAGCAAAGTGGCTTCGTGTTTGATTGATTTGTTGTTTTACCTAAATCCAGCCTCAAAGTTTCATTTCTAGATGAGGAAACTTGGACCTAGAGAAGAGGGGGGTCCCTCCAGGCCCACTGGGTAGCCTCCATGCCCACCCTGAATATGGGACAAAATCAGAGGTCACCCCCTCTCGAGTCAAGTTCCCAGAGGCAGAGCCAGAGGCAGGGATCTGGTGCATGTGAAAGAAGCTGTAGGGAAGCCAGTCAGAGCAGAGGCTGAACTGAGCAGGAAGGGAGCAGCCCGAGGCCTGATTGGTGCGGTGAGGGGGATTTAGATCATAAATCTCACCACCAACTTGTCTCCCCCTGGAGGCCAGGACACTGGGCTTGTGATAGCGGGATGGCCAGCTGAAAAGAGGGTGGGGATAGCTTTGGTGCAGTTGAGGCTAATTCTCCAGGGTCTGCTATAACCCATGAGCAGTTAATATTCACAGCAGCTGGGAAATGGGTGTCCTCCAGTAAAGGGGACATGGGCAGGGCACCATTTCCATCTATTGTTGCTGAAAGCTCCTGTCCCCATGCCAATCCTATACCGAGGACACAGTGTTGAGAAAAAGGATAAAGAAAAGTTTGTTGCTTTGCTAGCAAAGGAGAAACACAGGGGACCCCTGTCCCAAAGGCTGTGATTCTGCCCATCAGCAGGAACAGGGGGCTTTTAAACAGTGACTCAAAGGCTACATTCCGCATGTTCTCTGTCTGGAGTTGTAATTCACTCGTTAATTTGGGAGACTGTCATTTCTGAGATCACTGGTACCATCCCCAAAGTCTGGATTACTTCATTCCTATGGTGGGTGTGTACTCAGGACAGATAACGCTGTTTACATGGGGAAGAAAGGTAATCTCGGTTCCCCTGAGATGAGATTAGGGAGGAGAGAGATCAGGGAGGAGCAGAGAGAGGGGAAGAGACAGAAACTCATCCATTTTAAAAATCTGCTGCAGTGGCAGAGCAGCAAGGTTATATTCCAAGCGTAAAGTGGACACTGTGACAAGGGCACCACCTGTTAACTCCTGAGCCCAGGAGACAAAGGCAGCTTTCGCCCCCAATTCAAACCAGAGCTGTGACCATCCAACCCAGGAGAGCAGGGCAGCACTCTTGACCAAACCAGCTGGTCACACACTGCTCAGACAAAAATAGCTCCCAAGTCCAGGCCAGAGGCCCAGACGCAACCAACTCGCATGAGAGTTTAGGAGTCCATTCCAGGGGCTGCTGGGGGGTCCTGCCTATGATGAGCTCATCTTCTCCATGGATGCTACTCCCCAGAGGTCTCAAGTCCTAAGCCACAAGCCAGGTGGAGGCAGAACACCACCTGAGACTGGCCAGAAGCTTCCAAAGGGAGCTGAAACTCAACTTGTAGGCCACACTTGGGCCATCGGACTGTCTCATCCTCAACCTCACCCAGGATCTCAAGCCCTGCACACGGCGCTCTCCGCCCCTCAGACCCTGACCCACCCTCATCTTCATGAAGAATCCCCACTTGTTCCTGCTACTGCCATTTTCCTCCGCCACCCCCTTTCCTGTGCCCTTTGCTGCTGTCTACTCCTGACCCATGGCCAAGGGTCTTCTGGTGTCTTCCTGTGATCTGGGACTGTGGTAACCTCCTGTGCATTACTCTGTCCTTTTCATTCTGTGGCCTCCTCTCCTTCCAGAACATTCAGCTGCCCACTCCCAGGACCACAACCCACTCCACCCTACCATCTTCCATTGGATTCGGGTCAACAAATCCTGATTGCTAACTTTCACCTGAGAGTTCTGTGTTGAGTGCTGGGAAGAATCCGACAGGACTCCTGGCCTCATGAAGCTTATATTCTAGAGAAGAGGACAGCTACCAATCTCATGGCACACTGGCGGAAGCACAGGGCACTGGCGGAGAGAGAAAGGAGGCTCTAATAGCCAGGCATCCAGGAAAGGGCTCCCTGGGACCTCTTACACTGATGGCAAGAGAAACAGGAGGGTTTCGCCCAGCGAAGGAGGTGGGATTCCAGACAAGGGGACAGGGTATGCAAAGGAGAGCAAATCTGATGACAAAGATTGAAGGAAACCCAGATGGCTATCAGTCGGGTGAGGGGCTGGAATCAGGGATCATGCAGGATCATGCAAGTTTGGTTTATAAATATCTGTTCATGATATTTTTAGGACTTTAACCTAAAGACAATGACAGGCCCCAGAGAGATTTAGCAGGGAGAGGACATGATCCAATTTGCAGTGTCTCTGGTTACAATGTGGAGGCACAGAGGCAGGGCTACCTGTTTGGAACCTGATGCAATTGTCTGAGAGAGAAAAAACAAGGCCTGAACCAGGCAAGGCGTGTGCCATGGGGATGGAAAGAAGTAGCTGGATTTAAGAAATGTTTACGGAGATAGAATCACAAAGATTGGGTGATTCCGTTGGGTGTGGGGATCAAGTCGAGGGAGGAATCAAAGTGTCATCCAGGTTTCTGCCTCGGGGTGGTGGTGCCATTGACTGGAGTCAGAAGCCCCAGAGGAGGAGCAGGTTTGAGGGAGACGCCATGATTTCAGCTTCAAACACATTGAGTTTGAGATTCAAAGGGAAGCATGGTTATTCCTTTCCATTTCTGGGCCATCAGAGCCCTGGCTTGTTGCCTTTCCATGACTACATTGTTATCATCCCTAGGGATCTCATGTCCATCAGCAAGACCTCTCAGTTCCAAGAGAGATTAGACTTCCTCACTCCAACTCCACCCGTCCCACCCTCCCACCCTCCCACACCCTAGACCTTGTCTGTACCAGGAGCTGCCTCGTCTCCCATCTGGCTAGCCCACCCAGCCTCGTTCCCACACCAGCAGTCCTCCTGCCCATCCACTGACCTGCCGGTCACCCCCTCCACAGCCTCCCTCCCCTCCTGTCCAGCTCAGACACCACCGGCCCCCAGACAGGTATGAATCCCTAGCTATCCTCCACTCCTTTGCCTTTGTGTGCTCCTCCTGTGCTCACAAAGACCTGGAAAGACCCTCTCCATGTGGCATTTCCATGTGGCATCACCATACAACCGGACTGACTGGTCTCAACTTAGACTTCTGATCACAAAGCTTAAATGGACACTCAGCATCTCAAAGAAATCCTACATTTTTCTAAAACTTGAATCCGATTCTCCCAGATGACTATATATTCTACCTTCTCCTCTTTCCTCAAACTGCCTTCTCCATTCCAGCCGACAGACTGCTTCCTGTGTCCCTGGGGCACAGGAGCAATAGCTGAGTGCTAGCACAACGCCTCATCTCCACAGCCACCAGGCCACCTCGCCGGCAAGCGTACCTGTCTGCTATGCCTTCTGTGACAGGGACAAAGCATCCCTGCTCCTGTTACAACCCCTTCACCAGGTCGCCAGGCTCCATCGCCTCTCACCGGCTCCAGACTGTACAGCACAGTTGGTACCCTCTCCCCCAACTCACAATTTCCCTTTCTGCAAATATCCTATAATATGTTCATCTCTTTCTCTTTTTAATTCTCTCTTGACATCAATCCCATCCTTCTCCAGCTACTATCCCATTGACAAAACCCAAAATCCTCAAAAATTTATCTACATATGTCTCCATTTCCTCGTCATTTCATTCCAACCCATGATCTCCAAGTTACCAAATCCAGTGCCCAGTTCTTCTGCTTCATCTTACCCCTGCAGCAACATCTGGCCATGAGAGCTCCTCCCTCAGCCCTGTCTTCTCCTGGCTCCCGGGCAGGTCAGGGCTTCCTCCCACCTCACCAACAGGCCTTGATGCCCATGGGCGTCTCTTCCTCCTCTCTAAACAAAGACCTCCCTGGGCCCAGTTCTCTGTACTCTTTCTCCTCGCTGATCTCGTCCAGTACATCTATAAGTGGATGACTCCCACATCTATGAGTTTGGATGTAACCTCTCCATGAGTATCAGACTCATGGATCCGCTTTCGTCTAACCCCTGATCCCCCTTACCAAGGACAGATTCATGTTCTCTCCCAGTCTTCCCCACCTTGGAAGATGTCATCTCCATCCACCCAGCTGTTCCACTCAAAAGCCTAGGAGTCTCTTTCCTCATAATGACACCCACACCATTGCCAAGTCACGTTGGCTGTAATTCCAACATACATTCAAAATGCAGTCACTCCCTACCATCTCCAACCCCAGCCCAAGCCACTTGGTGTTTCAACACCTGGACACCTGCAGCAACTGGTCTCCCTGCCCCGACTCTCGCTCCTTTGAAATTCCTCTTCCACAGAACAGCCTGAAAGACCTTTCTGGCAAGTAAATCAAATCAATCGAGTCACTCCCTTGCTTTAAAACCCTCCAAGTGGCTTCCCATCAAGACCAGAAAAACAAAAATCAACCAAACCTTTCCAACCGCGGCCTGCAAGACCCTCCGTGGGTGGGCCCTGGCTTCCTCACCAAGCCCACATCCTTGGCTCCCCATTTTGGCCACACTCCCTGCCCAGTGACCTTCTCCTTCTCAGGGTCTTTGCACCTGCTCCTGCTGGCAAGGTCCTTCCCCTAGAGTCTCACACACCTGTCTCCTCGGCTTTCACATCGCAGATCAAACAGCCCCACTCCCAGAGCCTGCTTCTGACCAGCCCTCCCCAGAAGCACGCACCACACCAGCACTCTCTATCCCAGGCCTCATTTTGTCTCCTTTGTAGTTCATCCTAGCTGATGAAATTTTCTTATTCGTTTACATGTTTATTCTTTTTACGTCCCCACAGAAATGAGCTCCTAGAGCGGAAGGACTGACTCTGCTGTGCTCATCACAGGCTCCCCCTAGCACCTTGACAGTGCTTGACATATAGTAAGCACTCAATAAAAAAAGTGTCGACTGACTGACTGACTGATGGGCACACAGGTGGAGACATCTAGCAAAAGGATCAACCAGGAGATATAGAGTTGGGAGTCA